ACATATTCAAGGAAGCAATCAAGATGTACTCTATCAAAAGCAAGCAGCCTCTCAAGTTTAAACATAGTGACAGGACTAGAGTTCAAGTTGTATGCCAGCAAGGTTGTCTGTGGAACATATGGGTAGGACCAACAAACGACGAAAAGGCTGTTCAAATAAGAACATGTTTTATGCAACACGAGGCCTGTATCATGGTGTTCAAGAACAAGTTTGAGAATGCTGCTTTCATTGCTCGGAGGTACTTGCAAAGGTTTCAGGCCGATCCATAATAGGGGACTGAATCAATCATCCAAACTGTTCCAGAAGACTGTAGCTGGACTATTTCAAGATGGACTGCATGGAGAATCTGGCGTTTAGCAAAGGATCTTCTAAGAGGCAATGCGAGAGCGCAGTATCTCAAGTTGCAAGACTATTGTGCTCAAGTGCGTAGGACAAGTCCTACTTCTACCTGCTATGTGGAGACTTGTGAAAACTCCAATATGTTCAAGAGGATGTACTGTTGTTTAGAACCTTGTAAGAAGGGGGTTGAATATTGTAGGAAATTTATTATGCTCGATGGCTATTTTTTGAAGACAGAATATGGGGGACAGTTACTATCTGCAGTTAGTATAGATGAAAATGGTGGAAGTTTTCCTATATCATATGCTCTAGTGATAGTGGAGAATGAAGACAATCAGACTTGGTTCTTAAACCAACTATGCCTCGATCTAAACATATTTGAAGATCTAGGAAGCTGGACATTTATGTCAGATAAGCAAAAAGTAAATGTTCTTTCATTGTTTCAATACATTTTAGCTGCTGCATCAAAATTGTTTCAACTTCTTGAAGCTGCAACTTGCTAATCACTTTTGATTTTGTAATGCATGGCCAGTTGAATGCTTTGGAGAGTTTAGTTCCATATGCTGAGCATCGATGTTGTGTCAGACACCTCATTTCAAATCTATTCCGGGCACAAGGTAGTAACAAAAAAACCAGAGACTTACTATGGACTGCTGCTAGAGCAAGTTATGATGCAACTTTTCGTAAGAGTGTGAATGAATTAAAGGATTATGATGAAAAGGCTAATAGATGGTTGCTTGAGAAGCCATTCTCACAGTGGACTAGGTCACATTTCCAGCCATACTACAAGTCAGATAACAGGAAGAAAATGGCAGACTTGAAATTCAAAGGTCGTTTCTTTCCTACAATCCAGCAAAAGCTAGATGTGGCTAAGCAAGCTAGCTTTCTCTGTACTGCCATCTAGAGTGGTCCACGAAAATTTCTAGTCTCATGTCTAGAGGGCCAGGTTGTTGTTGACTTGAGCAAGTCCAAATGCACGTGTAGAAGGTGGGAATTAACAGGTTTACCTTGTCCTCATGCCATACGCTGCATATGGCTAATCTCGAAAAGGGTTGAGAACTATGTGAATAAGTGTTATAAAGTTGGAGCCTACATTGAAACCTATAGTGGTCAAGTGGAGCCTATGGTTGGGAAAGAACCGTGATTTCCAAGCGGAAGGGAATCTATTTTGCCACCACAACTGATTATAGCTGAAATAAAGAGAGGAAGGCACCAAACCAGAAGGAGAAAGGGCATTGAGGAGACAACATGTCCTAATAAATAGAAACGCAAGCTTAGATCTAAGAATGGGAGGATGTGTAGGAAAGGTAAGGGGGGAACTATTACGTGTAGTGAGTGTAAGCAACCAGGGCATGATAAGTTATTCCATACAAAGGGGAATAAGGAGGGAAACTAAAAAACAGGTGTTGCGTCGACTTAAAGATCATCAACCGAGGTGACTACTGTAACTGCACAACTAGTTTTATAGTTGGTTACCTGGAAATGTTTCAATTCTCATGGTTGTGTATTTGATTTGTAGGGAACCACGCCACCTATGGGATTAACTGGTATTGTATTACAGTGGATGCCTGATGTATGGTGCTTAATATTTAAATTCCATTATTTTTCTATTGTGGGGACTCTTACTAATTGATTCTGAATAAGGAATCACTCGGACTCGTCCAATGAATCCTTTAAGTCAAGATGAAACTACTTCTTTCCCGTTCCAACAAGGCAGCCAAAGTTTCAATTCAGCTTCTATTCCATCTTTACAAAGCAATCAATCTGAGGTGGTAATTGGGACTGAATACAAGCTGTCAAGTTTTAGTTCATGTTCTACTTTGAAGTTACTGTATTTCGTATGTTTTGATGTACGAGGGACAACGAGCTCGCTTTGCACAAGGAGAAGGAGGCCAAGCAAACTCCCTGTCATGCCAAGATCACATCTTTAAGATCCAAATGGAAGAAAGGAGTCAAAGGGGAAAGGAAAGATGTGATATTCGTAGTTAAATGGGGGAGGCTTAGGCTAGTAGGAATCGAATATGAGCGGGTTTTTTAAATGGAGCTGGATTTTTTGTTGTTTGATTTCCAACACCTTATAGTCATTGAAATGGAGCTGGTTTGCTGGCTTATTTTTTGTGGTTTGATTTCCAGCACCTCACTATCATTGAAATGGAGCTGATTTGCTGGTTTTTTTGGTGTATTGATTTTCAGCAACACCTTACAGTCAATGAAATTGAGCTGGTTTCCTGTTTTTTTTAGTTGTATTGATTTTCAGCACCGTACAGTCATTGAAATTGAGATTCATCATTGGTGGTTGTGAGCAGAATTTCTACGGTTTGTTCATGAATATAAACGCTTTCCAAATCCATTACATCATCCAAAATAGGTTCCCAATCCATTACATCATCCAATACAGGTTTGCAATTCATTACACCATCCAAATCAGGTTCCCACCTCATTACATGTTCCCAAACAGGTAATCCATCACACTCTTTGCCAAAAGAACTCCTTTGATGATTTCTCTCACAAATGAGTTGCGATTGTTCCTCCTCTCCACCTATCGGATTCTCTAGTGCAAGACAAGAACAAGACGCTTAATATTATCTTCAAGTGGTGGATCGATCCAACGAAAATAGTTACATGCTTTTGCACTCTGTGAATCAAAGAAGAGACAAACAAAATCCATATATTACATATGAGAAAGGTCTGCAATATGCCATGAAATGAGGTGGCAGACCTTTCTCATATGTAATATATGGATTTTGCCTCGTAGTAATACTACTAGTTTTGAAGTCAGAGATCACAAGTTCGAATCTTTCAAGTAGTTCCTAAACAACTAAAAGTTAACCTATATCACTCTCATCTATAAAAAAAAAAAGCGATAAATGTATATCATAAACCTCTTATAATATGAAAATTTGTTACTCACTATGAAAAATAATGAAATTGTGTACTCTATGAATAAGATAAATTATTTTTATTTTTATCGACTCACACACCTATCAAAAATCCTGAATCAACGATGGATATAATCTTATAGAGTACAAAAAAATTCTATTTTTAGGTTTTTTTATGGTTTACTGCATATTGTTTTTATAACATTATGGGCTCTCGTTTGCGTCGTGGATTTGAAAAATGAAGATTTTGGTATAACTTGGGTTTTGAAAAACCATGGATATATGAGGGTTTTAGCTTCATTATGGATTTGATAAACACCATTGTTTGTTTGATGGATTTCATGATGGATTTTGTTAATTAAATTTGTATGTATAAAGTGTAATTTACCTTTATTGCCATCAATGATATAAGAAGAGAAAGCAAATATGAAGGGGTAGGTTGGTAAAAAATGATGGACTTCAAAGTCCATAATCAATTCCCACCTAAATAGGTGGAACTTTCGGGGTCGTTTGTTTCAAGGATTTGGTACATGGATTTGGTACCAAAAAACCAAATATCAAGGATTTAGGTACAATCCGTTGTTTGCTTGCACCTTTTTTGGAGACCAAATCCGTGGGGCCCACGGATTTTAAGGGTCCAAATCCGTGGACCCCAGTGACTTATAAATCCCACATGTTGATGTGGGATTTGGAATATGGCATAAATCCTTGATGAGATTTTACCCATATACCCTCATGCACTTTTAATATTCCAAGGTTGCCCTCAAATTTAACTATTATACATTATAATTAACAATAAATGAATAATATAAACGTTCAATTAATGTGCAAACATGAGTTAGATTTTTTATATCATTTCTTGTGTTCTAGTTTTCTTTGACCTTTTCATGGAACGTGTAATTGTTTGTTCTCCCGATTCTAATATATGTTGTTATATGTTACTTTTGAAAAGGAGGACAAAGAATTGGTAATTGATTATGTTACGTTAAAAGTTAAAACGGAATTTTTTCGTTTATTATTATTGTCCATGTGGCAACATTATGCTTATTAGTATGTATTGTCCTTGTTTTGTGTACATATCAGAAACATGTCAAACATATAGAAAATGATAGTAAGGTAATTTTGAAGTTTTGTCCTTGTTTTGTGTACATATCATAAACATGTCAAACATATAGAAAAGGGCAGTAATGTAATTTTTGACTTCAAGTAGTAAATCCCACACCTTTAAATTCATGATAAAAATATCCCAACAAACAAAGGATTGTTACAAATCCATGATGCCTCAAATCCTTGATAAATCTTGGGTTTAAATTACAAAACCCTCATTTTTAAATCCATAAAGCAAACGAAGTCCGTGAGGTTCACGGATTTGGTACCTTAAAGTTCGTGGGACCCACGGATTTGTTTCTACTAAATGCATGAAGTAAACAATGGATTTTGGACAAAATCCATGATAAATTCAAATCCCTCACCAAATCCATCAAGCAAACAAGCCTATAGTTCTGCATATTAGAAGAGTTTGTATTGGAACCTATCTCATCCCTTCAATAATTACGTTGTATTTATTATTAGTATGCAAAAAAGGTTAAGTATGATCCTTCCTCGCATTATACTCCTAATTTGCATGAATTCCGTAATTAAAGACTCCTTTTCCTTCCCCTCAACAGACTAGAGTCTAGAAGCAAATAAAAAGGTAAAAAAAAGACTACAAACAGAGAAAGAAAAGGAAAAACACTCTCATCTCCAAAAGGCAGTAAAATAAGTGTGATCGCCGGCTAAAAGATGCGCCTCGATAATTCCGATGAAGACAATTTCGCTGAATTGATCTACATCAGCAGCGACGACGAGTTGGACACCGAAAAAGACGCCATAGAATCCGACGATGAAGCCGAATTCGACAGCAACAATGCCGCGGCCGGTCTCTTGGACGATCTCGAAACCGTTCCGCCGCCAGAGCTGTCTTACTCCGTCTTGACAGAATCCGACATCCGCCGCCGCATCGACGACGACATCAACCAGCTCTCCGCCGTTCTCTGCCTGCCGAAATCCGATACAACCCTAATTCTCCGCCATTTCGATTGGGACGCGAGCAAGGTCGAGGACTCGTGGTTCGCCGATGAATCCGAAATCCGCCGGCAAGTCGGCCTCCCGGTAGCAACTCAACAGGTAACATCTCTTCGACCCGATCATCGCACTCTCACCTGCAGTATCTGTTTCGAATCGCACCGCTTATCGTCCTTCAGCTCCGCCCCATGCGGCCACCAATTCTGCCGCTGGTGCTGGCGGAATTACATCGCGGCGAGCGTCAACGACGGGCCCAGCTCCCTGAAATTGAAATGCCCTGAACCTTCCTGCAAAGTTCTCGCAGGCGACGATCTGATCAACAAAATCGCAGACGAAAAGGTGCGGACAAAGTATTCCAATTTCGCCCTTAGGTCTTTTGTAGAGAACAGCAGGAGAAGGAAGTGGTGCCCTGCTCCCAACTGCCAACACGCCGTGGAATTCACGCCGTCGGGGGATCTAAACTACGACGTTTCGTGCCTCTGCTCGCACAGTTTCTGCTGGAACTGCACCGAGGACAAGCACCGCCCTGTGGACTGCGAGACAGTGAAGAACTGGTCACTGAAGAACGCCTCCGAATCTCAAAACGAGATGTGGAAGAAAGTGAACACGAAACCATGCCCGAAATGCGGCAGGGCGATCGAGAAGAACAAAGGCTGTATGCACATGACCTGTGCAGCTCCATGCCGGCACCACTTCTGTTGGGTATGCCTGGGGCCGTTGGGCGTCAGCCACACGTCCTGCAATGGGTACAATGATGATGGTAGCAAAGATGGATTGCAGTCACTGAGGGCAGAAGTGAAGAGGTACCAGCACTACTACGAACGGTGGGCGGAGAACGAGAAGTCGAGGCAGATTGCGGTGAACGATTTGAAGAATGTGAGGACGAATGTGGTTTCGGAGATTGCAGGAGCCCTTGGTTTGAATGTGAGCCAGCTAGATTTCTTGATTGAAGCTTGGGAGCAGATTGTGGAGTGCAGGAGGGTCTTGAAGTGGACTTATGCGTACGGGTATTACTTGCCCGTTGGTGAAGCTGCGAAGAAGCAGTTCTTCGAGTACCTGCAAGGGCAGGCCGAGACTTGTTTGGAGAGGCTTCATGATTGTGCAGAGAAGGAAATGAGGAAGTTTGTGCTTGAAGAAAGCTGCATGCATGAGTATGTTGCCTTCCAGAAGAAGCTGAATGAGCTGACGAAGTTGAGCAAGACGTACTTTGAGAATTTGGTTCGAGCATTGGAGAATGGACTGTCTGAGGTTGAGGCCCCTATTGAAGGGAAGAGACGGAAGATGGAGAACTGTGATAAGACCAGTATGAATAAGAAGAGACAGAGGAAGGTTGGATGAATAACTGGCGTCATTCCTATGTATAAAAATAAACAATGAGGGATTGGTATGCTTTTTTTCCCCCTCATCGTCTTCGATTAACTGTTATCAGTTTACAAAACCTCATGTTCAATAATTCATGGATATATAAAGCTTCATGTTTTATGAAGTGTTCTTTGTTTAGTATATGAAAAAGGAACAATCTTTATGGGCTACATGATGTGGGTTCTTTGAGTGCTTTGCTTGCTTGTTGTTCTGCAACTCGATCGAGAAGAACGCTAGATGTATTCAAATCTCATGCTCCGCTCCTTGCAGCTTCGGGTCCATGGCAGCTAAGGACGCTGCAACCAGTACCAGCAGCTGCCGGAAAATTCCAAATTGCCCCAGTCGAGAGCCGAATTGCAGAGGTAACAGCACTTCCATGACCAGAACTGCTGCTAAGTATTACGTCTACTATGGATAAGAGTATGCAGAGCTGAAAAGATTGGAGTGCGTCTTGCTGGCGAAGGCCAGAAAATGGGGACCCGTTGGTAGATTTCTTCATTTTGGGATGAATGAACAGCTATTTAGATGTACCTATGAACACCAGCTAGCCATGGCATTTTCGTTAATGTTTTTTAATTATTATATTCGGTGAAATTCTTTAATGTTGTTCAGTTACCTTTGTGTAGTATTTTTTTAACCTGTTTTTGTCGCCATCAGTTATCTTACCCGAACGAACCAGCGTTCCTTTAGTTACAATTCCATCCATGATGACCAGCCAAGCTAAGAAAGTATTGCTGAGAAATGAGAATGTGGCCTTTTCCCCAAACCAAACCTGCCCATTCCACCGGTGTGAATCTAGTTCTCAAAGGGTTCTAGAATATGAATACCTTGTAAGCGGCCATGAGCTTACCATCCCAACAATGGCCTCATCTTCAAGACCCTACGCCATACCCAGGAACTACTAGGACGAAAACTTATAGTCCGTAAGCTACTTGCCTTAACCTTATAACATAATATCCAAGCCTGATTCCAAGCTAACAGATCTTTCAAGCCAAGCCTCCTCCCCGGGCTTTAGTCTAGGTCTAGCCAGTTGGGATATCCAAGCCTGATTCCAAGCTAACAGATCTTTCAAGCCAGGCCTCCTCCCCGGGCTTTAGTCTAGGTCTAGCCAGTTGATCCCAACCAATTTTAGCTCTGCCCTCCATTCCACCATGCCATAGAAATTTGGAACAGACATCATGAATTTGTTTGAACACTTTTTTAGGCAAACAGAATACATTGATTTAATTTTGCAATAATCGCATAAGGGTTGAGGAGATTAACTGCAACCTCCTAGTACAGCTCAGCTTTTTAGTTCTCAAGGACTCGATTTTCTGAGTAATTTTGGCCACCAATTCGTCACAGGCATCAGAGGAGAGCTTACCCGAGAACAAAGGCAAACCAAGATATCGCACTGGCAAAGTTCCCTCCTGAAAAACTAGAGAGATGGAGAGCATTTTACTTGTAGTTCACTGAGTTACCACCAAAAGACACCTCGCATTTCCTAGGATTGAACTTGAGACCCGAGAGTAAATAGAACTCATTCAATACATTTTACATCCTATTAAATACCTGAGCAGACCCCTCAGTAAAGATGAGGAGGTCATCCGCGAAACATAGATGAGTTATATTGACTCGTTTGCATTGGGGATGAAAAGACAGAGAACTTCAAGTTGCAACATTGTTTAGCATAATAGAAAGACTCCCCATAGCAATTGTGAAGAGGCAGGATGAGAGGAGATCACACTATCTCACCCCCTAAGAGCACCAAAGTAACCACACAAACTGCCATTAATACTTTAATACCGAATCTAGCAGTTTTCACACATAATGTAATCAAATAAGAGTAATTTGCTAGGTACCACATAACATCCATCATAAAAAAATAAGTACTCCCAATAAACTGAATAGAAGGCTTTGATGAGATCTTGATAGCACAACGGGAAGACAAGTGTTTCCTATTCTAGCCACTAACTAGTTCTTGAGCCATGAGTATGTTATCCATAATCCTCCTACCATGTACAAACGCAGACTAGTTATTACTTATATAAGATGAGAGTCTATCTACTAGAAGCTTTGCAAATTGCAATGATTTTATAAGGTGTTTTAACACATGAAATTGACTTACTCTTTCAGCATGATGACAAAAGGAACCTTAGGAATTAGAGAGACTGCAATAGGATTGACACTACCTGGAAATCTCCCTTAGACGAAGCAATCAAAGACTCCCGCAATAATGTCATCACCAATAATCGACCAAGTCTCTTAATAGAAACGAGCGGAAAAAACATCTGAGCCAGGGGCCCTATGTGGATTCATATGCATAACAACCTTCCTTATTTCCTCTTATGTAACAAGCTTACATATCATAGTCTTTTTCTCATCTGTTAACCTTTTCTTCACAAGCTCTGATAGTAACTGTCTGTTAGGTTGAACTTTCGGATCTACTCTTCCAAACAACAATTTATAAAAGGAGACAAATTCGTCTGCAATCTTCCCTACATCTGTAAATTCCTCACCTTCAATGATGATCTTCCTTACTGCCATTCGAGCAGTTTTGACCTTAACAGTCTGATGAAAATATCGAGCAGATCTATTGCCCAGTGTTAGCCCTCTAATTCTCGACTTCTGCCAATACAAATGCTTCTGAACCTTTCTTAATTCCTCAAGGTTCCTCTGTAATGACGCAACATCAGCAAAATTAGTAGCATTAATTGAGAGCCACACTCTATGCAGCTAAAAAAAATTCTCTACTTCTCTCACCGGGCCACTAATATATGTGTATACCTCCTTATTTAACTTCCTAAGCGCTTTTTCACTTCATTCAACCTGGCTTTCACAATCATAATTGGCATCCCTTGCACATGACTATTTGATCACATTCATCCGTGCAAGTTATTGTCAATGGTTAGCACGTGTCAACAACTAACCCATCCTATGTCGTATTCTACTCGGGCCCTGGTACCCTAGCCTACTTCACACCTTGTTGTTATTTATTCGATTGGTGTGTGAAGGATTTGAGCGAATTAACTAGTCTATAGATTGATAAAGCTAAAAGAAGGTACTTTAGGGAACTATCCATCACCCTAGTCTAGGACTACTATGTAATGTCTAGATACTTAGGGTTTATCGAATGTGGTGAGTGAGCTCTTTTCCATGAGCTTTCGTGGTTATCCACAAGCCTCCGAGCTCCATCAATCCAAACATCACATATCATAAGGATTGTTTTGCAATGGACTATCATAAGGCCTCTAAGTTCCCCCCCCCCCCCCCCCCCAACACACACACACTTGAGTGAAACTCAGACTTGAGCAAGAGAGGAAACTTAGATGGAGAGATAGTTCCAAAATAATAAACACTAGGATCTCCCAAATCAATGCAAAATCAAGTAATAAAAGTTAACCCATGCAAAGAAGTTGAGCATTCAACACATGTTGAGCAAGATAAGGTGATTAAAATATGAAACATGGGAAAGTGTACATTATCTTGCTAGGAGACATGTTGGGAATCCAAAAGCAGTAAAAATCCTCCTCAAAAGATGATAGAAAGTGAAAATAGAGTAGGTATGCTCATCAAGCTAAGAGGAGTGGAGAAACATGGCATGTAAATCCAAAAAGATAAAAAGGCTAAACTACACATGGGTGAAATGTGAGTTCCCCCTCTAAATAAGCACGGACAAGATCGCAATCGTGATCTTTAGTATGTCAACCACGATCTTTACCTTGTTCAGGACAACATGCTTTTTCCTATTCCCTAAGCCTAATCACCCATCCAAATCATTCAAACATCCAAAAAACAAGGGCTAAGTTATATCAATCATTCTCATTGCATCTATAATCTACTAGCTAAGCAATTATTCAAAAAGAAAAAGGAAAAAAACATACGCAAACCGAGTTATTGGGGTGCCTCTCAACAAGCGCGTCTTTAATAGTATTTTCGTCGGACTTGACTCCTTGAGATCAAAAGGCAAGATCTCCATCCTTCATCGATGATTCTTCGTAGAAATCATACTTATGGTGAAGTCGCAGGTGAAGACTATGGAGTCTCTCGAATGCCTCATCCGATGCTTGAGATAGGACAAATCCATTCGAGGGTTGATGTATATGATTAAGGAACCAAGCTCTCTTGCACAAGTGTTATCATCCCCGAATTTTTCATCTTCAAATATAGGAGTTAGATTGTTCTTAACCATCCGACTTCCTTTCTTGGGATATCTCTCTTCAAAGATGAACCTTTTGAGTTTCCTTCTATGATCATTGACTTGATGAGAAACTTTAAACAACTCTTGAGTTTCCCTTTTGTAATGAAACTTTTCCTTACCTGATCTCCTCATAGTTTTGCAAGAGTCACTTGCACCTTGAACTTTACTATCATAAGGGTCAATATGGAAGACCATATTGAATCACTCTATCTTGGGACTTGAAGGCGGAGTGGTAAGTGTGTGACTGGCTCACAATCCATCTTAACATAGTCCCACTTGTAACACTTGTGAAAATTGGGGATTGGAGTCATCTTGTAGCTTATCTCCTCCTCAACAAACCTTAAGGTGATCTTGCTTCCACTTACATCAATGATAGTCCATGTCATGGCTAAGAAGGATCAGCCTAGGATAATCGATGCATTATACCCCTCCATGTCGAGAACCACGAAGTCCACCAGATAGACAAAATGAGCACACTTCACCATGACGTTCTCTATGATTCATCTTGGCTCGATGATGGACCTATTGGCCAACTCAATCCGCATCTTAGTATGTATGACTGGTCCAAGGTCTAGTTCATTGTATATCTGTGTAGGCACAATGTTGATGCTAAACCCCAAATCGGCAAACGGATTCCAAAAAAAAGTTACCCCGAAGGTGCATGCAATAGTGAAGATTCCCAGATCTTGTAATTTAAGAGGGAATCCTCCACACCCAATGGATGCTGAAGCAACTTCACTAACAGATACCATAACTAACTTCTTCCATTTTCCTTTTTCCCGACAATATTTCTTTC